ACACCCTATACTCTGTTCACCCCTAGGTCTGCGGTGTATAGGGGTTTCGCACTCGCGGAACCAATCAACTGCCTTCTTTCCATCACGTGACCCTACTCTCTGCGCGTGCGTATGTGCGGGATCGAAATCATGCGACGAAAGATAGAACTGCGATTGGTCCAACGAGCAGGTAGCTTCCATCGTATGGCAGCGTAAGTTTTCACGCTTGACACAGTTGGAAAATCGGATGCCCGGAGAGTGGTTTCTAATTGAACATTTTTCGTCTCTTTCCGCGAACATCGTACGGCCGTTGTACTTGCACAAACTCAATAATCTCACCGTCTCCAGAACTTTCTAGAAAAAAAAATACTAAATTGCAGAAATTTTCATTTTGCTGTTGCGCAATCTACGATAATTGCGTTTCGCCAAGTCTGCTCCAATTTTAAACAAAAAAAAAAGGGAAAAAAAATTAGGTGAAGAAAGAATTGAGGAAGTCTCGAACCCCGATCAGGACGACATCCTGGAACGGTGAGAGACCGCGCGGCAAAAAATACCGCTTACCTGATTTGGTTCGTCCTAGTCTCCGTCGTTCGGTCCCTTTCACTCCACATATCTTCCTTTCAACAATCTGTTTGGTTTTTGTTGTTCGTCCGTTCGTCGTCTTTCATTCTATACTCTTGTTTGTTCTCATTTAAATTACGTTTTGTGCCTGAGGTGCCTCGTTCACGTTTCTTGTGTTATTTTTTTTCTTTTTGTTTTCTTCTTGCTGTTCTCACTCAGTCTCGATCACTTCCCTTCCTCATGCCTCCTCTTTCAATTTGTTCCTATACTTCCTCCCTGGAGTCTTCCTTTGTCATTTTTCTCTGTCCGCTCCCCAAATGTTCTCTCATCTTCCTTCTTTCTTCAGCATCAATTCTCCTCGTTCGTAATACGGCTTCCGTTCAGATTAGGTTAGATAGTCTCATTCCTTATCTCAAAACAAATTATGATTACTTTTCTTCGGTATGTGTCGCTCCTTCACTTCCGTGCAGATATTCCTCCAATCTAATATTTAAAGAAAACCTCCTTCGATCCTCTCTTCTGGACATCTCATTTTATTCTTATCTCACATTCTGGTCAAAAATTCGCAGCGCTGCAACCAATCTCATATTTATCTCTCGTTTTTTTTTTTTTTTTTGTAGTGCCATCTAATCTCACGAGACTGCACTTAATGCATCTGTCCCCTTCCAGACTGTCTTCTTTTTCTTTATCTTTATTTTGCTTCAGCTTCTCCGTGGGTCCTAAGAACACACATAGGCAAACGCGCACCGCCGCCCTCATGCCCGCGTATATCTAAGCAGATACGAGTGGGAACTCATACACAGGCACATGTACAGACACACGCACACGCGCACGCATGGATACACATATGCGCCTGCTGAGTTCGGACACATCTCGCGCTGGGGCGAACTCGGATTACATTTTCGTCTCCGGGGAGATCACCCTAAGGCCTTTCCCGGCCGTTTCCGTGCCAAATGAAATTAGCTCCGGGTCGTCCGGCGAACGCTCTTGTCTTCTACTTCCCCATTCTTTCGGGGCATTATTTCGCCCTTGTGCCACGTACGTGCTCTTGTGTGCAAACACGTGTGTTACCATTTTTTTTTCCGCGGGTGTAAAATTATCATATTTATGAGCCCTTGAGTGCGCCTCTCGGGCGGTGTGTTTTCGGAGGGTTTTTATTTTAAGTTTTCACGATTATTTTCGATTATATTTTTCTTCTAGGTTTCTGAACACTGCGCCTCGGTGACTCGAAAAATCCATCTGTCGGACATGCAAACTTTGAACATGTCTCATTGTTTGCCAAAACCAACCAGTTGAAAACTTTCGCGGTAACCTCTGTCGCGCAAAACTATTGCTTTGTATATATTTATTCGCGAAAATAGTAATCTTTGACCTCCTCTAAAGCCGCTTCTCCTATTTTTTTTTCTAATGAGAAAAGTAAAGGAGGATGCCAAAATCGTTGCTTGTGTTATTATCTGTAGTTGGATAAAGGGTAACAATAGGGCAAATAGTACCACCACGTACGAGCCACAGCATCGGATCTCTCCGTGGATAAACCAGGAAAAGCGGTAGCTGATACAAGATCCGTGACATGGAGGTTTGTGGAAAAAAAAACAAAATTGGCGCAGCGCAGGGTGCCAGAAAGGGGAGTACATAATTGCTAGGCCTAAAGTTTTTTTGTTTTGTTTTTTAGGGCGAATAGTATGCACCAATCCCCATTGCCCTGAGTGCGACGTGTGCCTTGTGCCTTGGTGGCAGACTACTAGCATATCACGGAGGAATATTGGCTGGCTGTAATAAGGACGTGGGCGGAGCCTCTGGTACATTCGTAACTTGTGTATGAATATATAAGCTGCATTCACAAAGTATCTGCCCAGCACTTCCTTGATTTTGTAAAAGTATGCTGGTATAATAGTCTTTCAAAACGATGAAATGTAGATCAATACATTACTTTGTGACATACCGACAGAGACGTAGGGACCGTGACATTCTACTAGGATACTTCCACAGACTGGTGGAACTTAGCGGGCTTTGGTTGGCAAGTGTTCCATAGCGTACATTCTAGCTAGAGTGTCCCCTCCAAGTACCGAGGTATCGGTTGGAAGATTTTGACAGGTTCTCTGTTATCACTGTGCACATAATGTCTTGAAAAACAAACAAGAAACACGTTTTCTCAGCGTTTCTCGCTTGAAGCTGTGTTTGGGCTCGAGGAAAAACGGCACATTATAGCGGAGCATGAGTTGTCAGGGAATTAACGTGATGCTCGTAATTGCGAGGCTGCTTGAGTGGGGTTGCCAGGCTGGCGGTTGGATAAAATATCAGACTATATCATCAAAAAAACAAGGCTCAGTTAGTGACTACACATTTAAGCATGCAAAATTTCAAGATTATTGACTCTGTACAGTTCTCGTTTTCGATTTCAAACCATAATCACTGTCTCTTCACTCACTCGAATGGTCTGGAAATCGCCGGGATTGATATCACGAGGGTTTTATCTGAAGAGAGGTATAGGATCACTTTTAAAGTACAGGTACTGAACGCTACCGCAACGTTCAGTCATTGGAGGTAAAGCGTTCAAGAGTTTCTGCTGTATGTAGCTTACCAGCGATTGCACGTGGTCATGTGCAGCACTCAGCTGCGTAAACGCGCAAATATGATATTTGTTGACTTAATTATGATCGAGATTACAATATATGAAGAGACTAAGGTGTGGTTGCTTTTTCGTTCTATGTTGCAGGGTATACGAGAGAGCAAGCGACATGCCCGATCATCCGTGAGACGTTCGTGGATCTGAATTGCCAAAAAGAAATTTTCACGCAATTGGTGAGTACAATTTTCATCATGGTGCACTTCCACCTTTGATGATCTTGTTTTTTCTTTTTCGTTCCACGAAAACGTTTATGGGGGAAAAGAACCCTTTACCTTTTGGCTGTGAAGTGCTGTGCAGAGGAATGGGAACAAGGCTTTACTGACACCTTAGGTCAAATTGTTCATGGTTAATTAAACTTCAGATGTTGTTTAAGGAACACAAAAAAAATATTGTTAAATTTATTCTATTCTACTTGGTCCGGACTATATACCGGTTTGTCGCGTGATCGTTCGCTGTAATAGTTCTCGCGTAAGTTTATTTGACCAGGAGAAATATCTAGTCTTGTGTCAAGGAAAAATTCTGCGTCGCGTAATGCTGCATATTCAGATGTGAGAGGCCAGTAATATACACTGACGAATAATTCGAGGGATGCGGCAATGCCGCAAAGTCAAATCTTTTTGAGCTCTGTTTTTTTCTTATTACTTTTTATCAAATTAATGCTCCCAGGAGTAGCACCACCTGGACTAAGAAAGCCTGCGCACTTGAAGTTGGAAGCCAGTTCATTAGAAATGAGCGCGGGCTAAACTGGACACAATTTCTGTTTTGGAATTTGGGAAAAATACGCGTTGAAAAATACATCAACAGACGCTTGGCGTTAAAATCGAGTCAATTAGGTGACTTGCTATCAAATTACTGTGAATACGTTTAATTATGAAAAAGAAGAAAGTGAACAGGATTTGATTAGTTATGGGCTATTGCCAGACATTGGATAGCCTCTGAAGTGCAACGCTGAGGGATGGGGCTAGGCTACGTCAAACTAACTGAACAGCGCTATGTCATCGTATCAAGCATCTCTATGAAAAGAAAATCGTGGATTCTTCAGAGGGATAGGTTCATAAATGGGAGTATGGGCACACGTAGCTCATGCAGGAGGTAATATCTTAAGGGATACGATACTCTAGTTATTTTTATATGTCTATATTGACAACATTTTATTCTAGTTGAACCAAGAGGAAACTACTAGCACTTTGCGGAATATGCGTCTTTCTTCACCGTTCCCTTGTTGTGCATGTTTATACTTTCAAGCTGGCCCTCTTCATGAGATAATAAACAAGCTAGGACAGCAAAAGCACATTATGCATTATGCAGTCATGCATTCTTTGTTTTAGATAAAATAAAATTAAACAAATAGATAAGTTTTGACCCTCAAAAGTATTGTCAGATACAGCGCGTGTATATAAAAATTTATTTTTAACGAGGGTAGAAAGTTGGGCAAGTTGGTGCTTCATAATGATTAAAAGGCGCGACCGGACAACGGTAATATATACTGAGCTGCAGCGGAAATAAAGTTCAGTTGTAAGTAGCGCTTTGTCTGTCTCCTTCTGTGTCCGTTGTCCTGTCGCGCTCTTTAATCAGTATTTCTAACATTCATTGAACAATATCTTCAGAATTGTTTAGATCTAATTTTTAATGCCCTTCTGTGCTCCTCCAACGACTAAACAAATTATTGTTTGCGCTCTCCTCTACAGGTAACGTGATGGTCAAATAAAGCTGCAAATATCTAACTACCAGCCAGAGTATATAGCTCGTAGAGGATGTGGACAGTGATCTCTTTCTCTCTCTCTATTGCAGTTGAGGCTACTGCGTTCCTTGATATGGCTGAAAGTCATCGTCCAGTCAGTTCCTTTCCACAAGCTACGCAGCGATCGGTGCGAACGGACAGAATGTCGAAAACTCGAATACGATTGAAGATGGCAACCCGACCATAATGACGCCTGCTGACGCGGTATGAACGGTGATTCGAGGCTCACTACGCTCTGGCCAGACATGGCGGGAGCCAACCCCCACTACGCCAGTGTCATCAACGAAGCAGACGCCTCAAGACAGGACAACTGGAGCTCCGCCCAGGAGTCCTGCACCAACTCAAGCATCGGCAACTCCAGCCTTTCCTGGCACGAGAACCTCGTGGTGGTTGTGACGGTATCCATTCTCTTAAGCCTCGTCATCGTGGCAACCGTCATTGGCAACATCTTCGTCATCGCGGCCATTCTGATGGAACGCAACCTTCGGACAGTTAGCAACTACCTGGTGCTTTCCCTTGCCGTGGCAGACCTGATGGTCGCGTGTCTGGTGATGCCTCTTGGGGCGGTGTACGAGGTGACTCAAGAGTGGGTGCTCGCGCCGGAGCTCTGCGACGTATGGACATGTTGCGACGTGCTGTGCTGCACGGCGTCAATCCTACACCTCCTCGCCATTGCCGTGGACCGCTACTGGGCGGTCACGTGCATGGACTATATGCGCCAACGTGACGTCCGGAAGGTGGGTAGCATGATCTTCCTAGTGTGGAGTGTCTCTTTCGTGGTGTCCATAGCACCGATCTTCGGCTGGAAGGACAAGGACTCGCACAGTCGTGTTCTCAACGAGAAGAAGTGCCTGGTGAGCCAGGACGCTGCGTACCAAGTATTCGCCACGTGCTCCAGCTTCTACGTTCCTCTTATAATGATTCTTCTGCTATACTGGCGGATATTCAAAGTGGCCCGACAACGGATCCGGCACAAGCCTGGTGCCAAGGCGGTGCTTATAGTGCACAAGGAACCTTCCACATCTTCAGCGCCGCCTTCGAACGAAAGCACACCGCATCACGGAACTCTGAACTCGGGCAACCAGCCACCAAGCAACGGCATGAAAGCGGTTCACGGCGGCATCGGACGGCTCCTTGTGCTCACGAAGAGGGAGAAGAAGCATGTCGAGGAGTCCATTGAGTCACGCAGGGAACGAAAGGCGGCCAAGACGGTGGCCATTATCACGGGAGTGTTTGTGATGTGCTGGTTGCCCTTCTTTATGATGGCGCTTGTGATGGCGCTGTGCGAGGCATGTGACCCGGGCAAGCTGTTGTTCAGCTTTTTTCTATGGCTAGGCTACGCCAACTCTATGATTAACCCTATAATTTACACCATCTTCAGTCCAGATTTCAGGAATGCTTTCAGCCGGATTCTGTGCGGCAAGAAGCCGACCTTCAGGTGACAGCAGGGAGCCTCGGCGAGCGCCACGGTGCGGCGCACGAGCGTCAACCCAGAGTTAGAGATGGTCTGAATTGTTACTCAGATGTAGTAATAGTTATATTGTAGCATATTTTGAAATTATGTTTTGAAATGAAACCTCAATCCTCTTTTTTGTTTTAGAATCGATGCCCTGAACAAGCATGATAAATGTCAGAAATGTCGGTTTAGCTGTTACCAATCTTTAACATACAAACGTGGGGACTCCGTTTGCATGTTTAAGGTATGGTTGAAGCAGTACTGACTTTTCTAACATTTTCTCGTTTTATGGAAATATGAAGAAATGCAAAACTTATCTATGAACTATTAAGAGTAGTGAGCCACGGCTTCATTTTGCTGGCATTGTTTTGTCTTATATAGCAGAGGCTAGCAGAGGCGTTCGCTTTATGAAAATTCAGAAGGATGCTTGGGGCTCAACGTCCCTGTGAATGTTTCAAGATAAGCGCCTTTGCTAGCGGGGCGAACGTTGTGTGTTGATTAGAACTAAACTACAATTATCCTTATTTTGACTAAACATTCTTTGAGTAAATTCTTTCTTTTTCAGACGCACTGTCTCGTCTACCTTGCAGAGGTTTTTCAGGTATAATGATTTAGAATTTCCAAGGCTCAATTGTTTGAGCGTTGATCTACAAGTGAGATAAACTAAAAGTATTATATTGTAAAGACAAGGAAACATTAATGATGAAAGCGCTGGTGCCATCACTATTTTTTCTTGATTAAGCTCACATTATTCCACAGATTCCTCGTTTCTGAAGAACATATAATGTGCATACATAGATATACTATACACTGTTTATGCTCTGCCTTCTCGTATCTTTATCCTTTACGTGTACAAACCAACCTTCACTAAGTAGCAGGTATCTACACTTACAACGTTCTTATCAGCTCGGCCGCTACCTTCTGAAGTCGTAGCCGAGTATAGCCCAAATAAGCATGGTTCTTGTTTCAAGAGACTTCATACTTCTAAAAGTACGGCATACTGCACTGTTTATAAGATACACCTGTGAACCCGTACTGCTCGTGTGATGCATATTCCCAGTCCCGACTGTGCTCCTTGTCACTACATAACTGTTCCAGTTCTTTGAAACGAACAGATACTCTTCCCATTGTTTCGTCTACCGCACGTTCAGTACTGGGATGTATATCCCAGATGGTCAAGTTAGAAATGTGATATTTAGGGTTGCAGGAATATATCCAGTAACGTTGCCTCCGTAGACTGGTTCGACCGAATCAGCGAATAATTCGTTTTTTGCACGTTCCGAAGTGATTAACATCTTCAAGTCTGTAAATGTTTTGCTGTGTCCAACAATCCTTCAACCATTTTCTGCATGTATTGTCCGCAAATGCCAGCATAAAACCGAAGGTAACCTACGTACCATTACTACTTGAGTACTGTGTAATATAACTCAGGTGAGAAAAATGTTTATGTCCTCGAATTGTTAATGGTGCAACCACTCAGAAAATAAACTCCCGGGATCGGTACGACTGGCCGTAGTTTTGGCATTCACACCCGTAGGGTCACTTTTTGTTAGAAAAGAACGATATGATATGGCTACTGAAGACGGCGTTCTAAGCCACGCTATCGGCTTCCTATATACTCTGTTTCATACTTAGAGTGCAACGCTGTCAAAACTACTGGCGCGAGCGCGTGGCTTCATCTATGGTTTGTTTGCGCTAGAACGCGTGCAAATGATCAACAAGATCAAGCCACATGCTCGCGTTAGTGGCTTTGACAGCGTTGCACACTACGAATAAACAGAGTATAGGTGGTATTCACTGGCGGCCACAGTTGAGGCTGTTGCTGCTGAGTGCGAGCTTTCTCAACGCTTCCGTAGTGTACACTTTCAGCACCGAGATCGTAGGTCCTCTAATAAAATTACTGAGGTTGCTCGGAGCATGCACTGTGAACCGTTGTTGTAAAAGCCGCGCTTGATTATGGCGCCCAGAGAATACCACGTATTTCTCGAATGCAATGTTGCGTCAATCACATAGGCGGATCACTGGTACCTAGATTATTGGGGTAACGTACGTCTTGAAGTTCCTATACTTCGTCTGACCATACGATGGACTACAACTAAAGCTAAGGGCAGCCAGCTCTAATCATAAGTTCGTTGGGAATCGCATGATATATATTTGTATTAGGGGGTCAAGACGAGGGCACTGATACACACACAAGAGTCATATACCGCACGGTTTCTAAATGGCTAGTGATTAGACCTGTAAGTACGTACGTAGTTTAGGCTGTAGTCCATTATAAGGTGACACGAAATATAGAAAGGAAAATACTGCAAAATGATGCCCCTAAATATGAACATTCAGCTGCTCCCGGCTTAAACTGTCAAAAGAGTAAACGTGATGTTAACTTAAAATTCATTAAACTAACATATGGATGATACGTAATAGGGTAAAACTGCATATTTAGATCCTCACTGCGCGCCATCGAGAGACATGTATCTACGTCATAACTGTGCCAGAGTTTATTTAATTTGGACGAAATCGCAATTGTTGCGGGGGTTGTGGCTCTTTAATATTACTTCGGAGTTTGATATGATTTGTCGTGGAACGACATCCCCAGAATCCATATACCCTGCTGTGCATCTCATCCGTAATGGCGCTAACTTTGCCCATAAACACTTACACTCATGGAGCTGAGAAGCACTTTGGAATGGAGCAAGCCTCACAGCGGGTTGTGAACAGACGTTATGTGCTAAATAAACCGCACACTTTGTGTTGACGTTGCATCATACGTGATGTTATCTTTTTCTGTTTTTTTTTTTTTTTTCACTTTCTTCTCACGCATGCTTGAACACTTTTATATATTCGAGAGCAGCTCATTGTGAGAGGTTACTCCTGTACATCGGTAGGACTGCTTTTTGTTGTCGTTGATTTATTTTCAAACTTATCCCGTCTATCCCTAAGAGCGCGCTTAGCAAAATGAGCAGTACCTAAGAAAGCACGACTGCCACGGCTTTCGCTCTTGAAATCTCCGAGCAGTCGAGCTATGTAAAGTCAGCATTGTTCTCGTAGAGTATAACTTAGATGTGTGTGTACTATCGAATTTTTTTAGTGTTCGTACCTGGCATTATTTTGTTCTGTTTTATTTTATCGCGCGCTTGATTTTGTTACCGTGGCTGCTCGCTCTTGTTACCTGACGCCTCCACCATGTTTGCGACAACACGGAATCGCTAGTTATTATAAAATTATTTTAATCATTATTCTTGAAAGGGAGCACCATCTCTTGTTTAGTCTATGACAGTTCCATGAACACGGGTAGTTATGATCTTGATTGATGGTCATTATTATTTCTCTTTCGAGTCTAACTAAGTGAATAGTCATCTACACATCCTTGCTCCTACAACTGCGTCTTCTGCATCGTTTGAGCTTTATAATGGAGTATTTACAAATGTGCTTATCGCCTTCAACCCATCCATCATGTCGACACGCGAACATGTTGAACCCATAGTTTATTTACGTAAAGCTTTAATGCCTTAAGCGTTGGGGTTTGTTGTTCAGAAAATACTTGTTCCTTGCCTAGAAATATTCGTTCTTATCGTAACAAACGAAAGCCGTAAATATATTAAAAACTGAGTTTTTGGCTATACAAAAAAAAAAAAAAGATTATTTAATAATGATTATGATATTTTATGTTTCGAAACCCAATCTACGCCACAGGCGATTACTCGGAATAAATTATTCTATGGAGCAGAGAGGGAGGAGAAGACTTGGCAAAAGAGGAAATACTAACGTGGGTGTTGCAGCCAAAGGCCGAACGTTCATCGTTAGTTAGGGGGAGTGTTTACTGGATTAACAGATGATAGAAGAGAAAATTGTGAAAGAGAGGAGGGTAGTGTTTCGCCAAATCCGACGCAGCAGAGTTTCACAAATGACACGGTCCAATAACGTAAGATTTAACTATGAAACGAACGGTTTTGAGCGGTAGCGAACGTTAAACACATTTCGCGTGCCATGTGCGTTTCCTAGATTAGTTTTTTTTTTTGTCTAGACTTTTTTGCGAGTATTTCTTTTATCCTTATTAACAGGACGGTTCTACATACCTTAGGTGCCCTTTTTAGTCGCACCGTCGGTGACTCTTGGGGCTCACTCGCTAGAAGCACGAGCAGTGTCATTCGAGTAGCTGCAGATTAATGTTGCACCAACCAGTTGTTATTTACTTCATCAAAGTTACAAACGGAATGAAAAAAACGATCCAACGAATCGTTTACGTTCCCCTTACATTCGATAAAAATCAAGCCTTCCAGCCCCCAAAACAAAAAAAGAAGAAAAAAAAAAAAAAGAGCTGCGTAGTTTGGATGCTCAAATGTGCTGGAACCCTTTTTTTTTTTTTTTTTTGAGGGCACGTGATTAGTTCAGCCGCCGATAGCACACGCACAAAGGCGACGAGCGCCATGACGGTGCACTTTTGGTGCCGCTTGATTGTCTCGATCGAGTCGTAGCGTCGACTGCGGTCGAACTTTGAGTAAAACGAGATACACATCTCTGGACGCCTCGGGCGACGACGACTCACAAATGTGGGTTTGCGGTCGAGCGGCGGAGATCAATGCTCCAACGGTAGTAACCTGCAGAAACTGGTGTCCTCGACAAATGTACAGAACATATCGAAAACCCGCACATCCCCCACTCTGTTGCTTTTTTTTTTTTCTCTTGTTGTAGTGGGCTAAACTTTACCCGCTACGGTCAAAGGAGGTGCCCTTTTTTAGAGCGCCCAGGAGTGCATCTATTTCGAAGCTTATCACTCCATGAACGTCTGGCGTCATGCTATCATTGTATAAGGTGTCTCAAAAACATTTTACGACATTTTTCCTTCCAAAAAGAAAATAACGTATCGCCGAGTGCACATTTTCACCAAAATGTAGCTCTAGAGGACCGAACAAGTTCTCAGTGTTTCAGCTCTCACCGTTATCTTGGTAAAATAAACGTATGGAAAATTGCTAGGCAATCCTGTAGGATACGTGAAGCGTCCTTGCATCACAAGCGTTTACGACAGCTGCAGCTCGTGGCTGCACCGATACGCAATAGGTAAATTAATTTGTAAATTTTGCTGGGAAACTGATTTGGTGTAGAGGTCACGTGACGTCAATAGGGAATCGTAGTGGACCGCTTTCCTCCTCCGCTATGGTATCAGTGAAAAAAACGCCGCAGCTGCGCATGCGCGGCGCCAGCCTTATCTTCATAGTTCAGGATCTTGTGGTGGATTACGGAGCGCTATCCGGAGCGCTATCCGGGCGCTTAAAGGGCTGCGGAAACGGTCCACTACAATTCGCGAGTATCTTCGCTTAGCTTAGCGGGGAAACTGAATTTATATAAAGGTTACGTGACACGAAGTCACGTGACGTCATTTTTCCCGCTAAATTGAGTTGGCGTTAAGGTCACGCGACTTCAATTTTCCCGCTAAAATCTAGCGGGGTAGAGGTCGCGT